CAAAAAAATGAATTACGTTTTGTTTTTTTTTTTTGTAATAAAATTTAAGTGTATTTTTTTTTTTTTCCCATTAAAAGTGCGTCTGTAAAAACTGCTGCGCAAATACCATGTGACATAACATTCCAAAACCCACCACTTTATTCTCTAGGGCCTCTGCTTTAAAAAAAAAAAATAATGTTTGGGGTTTCTAAGTAAATTTCTAGCAAAAAAACCTGATTGCTACATGTGAACAAAAGTGCCAGACTGGAAATAGTTAACTGCTATATCTGCAGGACAACTTGTTCTGTTGAATATCAACAGACTTACTGGCTGGATCACCAGATTTAAATAAAGAAAGGAAAGAAAAAAAAGCCTAATGTTTTTTCTTTTGGTTTAATGCAAGGGGATTTCCTTGTTTTGTTGATTGTCCATGTTTTGCATGAGAAGTATGAGTTTAAAAAACCCCAAACATTTATACTCCCCTAGTACAGGATGCAGCATCGATCCCTTGTGGGCTCTATGACTGGGGACTGAGTGATCAAACACAACTGATCACTGAGCTCTCCCCTCCTGCTCTAAAAAGGGGTCAAAGGTGAACTTACCCTTTTAAGAAATAAATTTAATGTCTTAATGATTACAGAGTTGCATGTGTTTGTCTTTTTATATCTGAGTTCAGATTTAAATTCAGAATGCAGCTTACTCCAGTTAAACTGTACTGTATGTATGTAATATGAATGTTCTAAAACGAACTCGGGTTGGCTGTAAGCCTGGTAATCTTTATTGCCTTAAAATCAGAGTAACTCATACTTGTAATCTTCTCTGTAACGTTTACTGCAATAAAGAAGGGAAATCTCTCATTCAAATCAAAAAATGTACAGCTATGTGTTTCTACATGTTTTTACATGCAAATAAGAGTATATGCTGAACTTTTTTCTCTACACACATGGTAGTCAAAATGGGTTCAATACATTCCTGCATTGCAGACCACTGAAACTGTCTGGTGTGACTGAGCTCTGAATTGGCTATGTTTAATCGTAATATTTAGATTGTAAGCTCCAAGGAGCAGGGCCCTCCTAACCCTCTTGTATTGAACTGTACTGTCTCCCTTTATATTGTACAGCGCTGAGCAACTGTTGGCGCTATATAAATCCTGTATAATAGTAATATTTGCTTTTACTGTTTTGCATAAGGCCTCATGCACACTGCACATCTCTCCTAGATGCCATTCCTCCTGGCAGCAGCATTTTGAAAAAAAAAAAACCGTTTGATGCTTGTAAATGTGTGTAAGGCATGTCAAGCGCTTGGGTGATAATCCCTTTCATTGGCCAGAATAATAATTTACTATGTCTACTGAAATGAAATGATGCTTAAGCACTAAACATGCCTAGTATTTACACGCGTCAATTGATTTTTCTGCTAAATGCTGCTGCTCCTGGACACACTGGCAATGTTTTTTTTTTTTTTTTCCTGCCTTTAAACGCCCCTGCCTATAAACTCCTCTAAATGCTTGTGTGCATGGACACAAGGCCAATGGTGAAGATGTTTATAGGCAGAAAAACCCCCCCCCCCCCCCCCCCCCCCCCCAAAAATAACGCTAGTTACCCCGAACAGCAGTGTTAAAAACACCAGGTGTGCTTGAGACCTTAAAGTGAACCTGTTCTTTACCTATGCAGGTCAAACCGCTGTATTTACCTTTCTATCCCACAAGGTATGGCTTGATGGCTCTTGTTTTTACCATGATCAGATGGTACCCTGCTGCATGGATTTTGGGTTTCTGTCTATTGTCCTTTTATTCCACCTTGCACTCTGTCATTCTGTTCCTAAGCAGAGTCGTCACTTCACAAAAGCTCATTGGTCAAAACATTGGTCCTTACTGGATATAGGAAAAAACGCTGTCTTGTTAAGTGTTACCTTTTTCTGCTGTCCTGTGCTTACACACACCAATCAGCCCTGAAGAAGGGGATGCAGATGCCTGAAATGTGTTGATTCAATAAAATAACCTAGATTAAAGTGTATGTAGACCCTAATCATGAACTTCTTTCAGTTTATCATTAAAGCCTAAGTTTAGTAAGAACGTTTTTTTCTACACAAGGGATGTTACTTACATTTAATGCAAAGTGTCCCCTTGTGCTGGTTCCCACTGTAATTATGGAAATCACAATGTATGATGAATGTAAGAATGGAGGAGTCAGGGCTTACATTCATTTGCCCATCTGCCATTCATAGATTCGATTCAATTCATTCAAGGAAGCTTTAGTACATGTAGGGACTTTCATGCTTTTTATTTTATGTATGAACTATTCTAGCGCCACAGCTTTATAGATTATATGTACTTTATATTGATATCTGCAATATCGTGGTGGCTGCTTTTGTGGTTTTGATCCACTTCACCTTTTCTATACCGTAGCGCAAATATATTTAAATTTTTTATTACATGTATGGAGAAAGGGTTGAGGAAAAAGCAGGTGTAGTCGGCACTCCTGAAGGCCTGTTACAGATCCAGTGCTCATATTAACCCCTATAGCGCCAGAAGATCACAGATCTGTTTCCTGACTCAGAGATGATAAAAAAACAAGTGGAACTTTTCCCAAAATGAAGGATATTTCCCCGCTTAGGGCTTGTTTACACAGTGGCACAGGGGATCACTTTTCAGAGAGCTGTAAACGGCTGCCAGGTGATACTGCCACCTCTTGAACTACTTCCTTTTTTTTTTTTTTTTTTTTCTTTTTTTTTTTTTTCTTCTAGCTAAGCAGGGATTTTGAGTGGCAATAGCAACTAACTGCCTATCTTTGCTGTCTCCTGGCTGCCTGTGTAAACAAAGCCTTATACAATTGTGACAGAACAGTTGTCCTTATTAGAACACTTAGGCTGGCTATACATTGTACAACTTTCCTTTTAGATTTACCAATATGAGGACCTAAACACTTTCAATTTGTAATCAATTCAGGCAGGCCCTTGCACTGCATAGTTGAAGGTAAATCTAAAGGAAATTAAACAAGAAAATTGTGTAATGTATGGCAAGCCTTAAGTGACGGGAAATCCAGAATTTTACAGCTGTCGCCAGAATAAGAGGTGAGTGTCTTGTTGATAATGGTCATTAGGACAAATAAAGAAGATAAATATCCCCAGTGAGGAACAAAAATTTAATTTTATAAAGGGTATAACCTTTCCCCCCGCCATTTCACACAACATGCAGTCCTGTGCATTTTTTTTCTGCAACAAAATGGCATGGAAAATAGGTTATATGGTTTCCAATAGCATAGTTCACACCAGTGATATCTGTTCCAAAAAAAGTAGAAAAGGTAGAACATGCTGCATTTTTCCTGCACTGCACTGTAAAGGTACATGGTAAAATGCATCAGACCCCAGTACAATGGAAAAAGAACAGGAACTAAGAAAAAAGCATCTGGAAACACATAAAAAATGTAACAAAAAGTGCATTAAAAACATGCATGCAGAAATGCATCTGCAACGGATCTGGAGTACATTGTGGTGGTGTGAACTGGTCCTTAAGGCGTAACTAAAGCCATCAATTAAACAGAATCAAAAAACAGTTACATTCCAGACATCTAGGGAATGTAGCTGTCATATATGCTTGTGCTTTGAACCAAACTGTCAGACTATGAAATGGCTGGTGTCCTAACTGACCACATGTGCAATCTCATGGCAGTTGCAGATCAAACAGAGGCTAAGATGGCAGCTTCTTTGGCTGAAAAGGATAGGAGGGTTTAGTTCTGCTTTAACTTTGCCTTTTCAGAAAAATACAAACCTTCTTTTTGTAAATAAAATGGTGTATGGAATTCAATGTCTATGCTGTAATAGTAGTCATAATTTGTGGATGAATAAATAAAAGAAAATCTGAAAAATGGTGTTGCAAGGTGGAGAAATGATCTAGCTGTTTTGTTTAGTGATATGGTTCTTTCCTGCTCTTGTGTCTAGGTCTCATGATCTTCTGGCTTTGAACCCAGAAGTCCATTTAAGAGGATGTTTATATTGATCTATAAGTAGAACTTCCTATGTAGAAAGCCACATCCTCCTCTTCATCCTCATCTATCCCATCAATTCATTTTACTGTCACCAGTCTTTTAATGGGTGACTGGTTTAACAAAAAGCAGACTTCGTCATGGAAAACAGAGAAATCAGAATGTTGTTTTTTTAATTAAATAATGCAGATGTGTTACACACAACACCTAATATGTGTATGTTACTGGATATTTATATTGGGCAGTAGTGCTGCAAGATATAGAAATTCCTCGTATAGTGAAATGGGTTATTTTTATAACGTATTTTTAAACAGTTTTGTGTTGTTGCAGTTTATGTAAGACATATACAGATTACCTCACTGGGGAAACGATCCTCGTTTCAAATAGAATTTTGTGTAATGTGAGGATTATTGATCTTACTGCTGTTAAAGCATAATGTTTACTCAGGAGTCTCATGACCCCTTGGGAACCAATTGACCTGCAGCCTTTTGCTTTAATGCAGACATGATATTTACCCATAATCTCCAATATAATTTTAGATATTTTTATAAAAAGAAATTTTCAGTGTAGCTGGGTCTGTCTAGCTTCCTTAGTTATTCCCTTGCAAATGCTTATGGTAAGCAAGATGTGAGAGGGCTACTTAGTAGCATCAGACATAATGTTAAAACACCATGTAAATGTCGATAGGTCTACATAAAAGGGTTAATGTGCTAAAGGCAAATAGACTGTGTACTTTGCAAGTGAAGTGGCACTCTGCAAGTATAGTTGCACTCTGCAAGGACATTTTCTCCAGAGCTTATTAAATGAGAAAGCTCTACTGACTTTCATCATCCAAGCATGTGCAAACAAAAATGCTTCACCTCATTTACTAAGATCTGCACCAAATGCCCTTGCATAGTGCATCCGCACTTGAAAAGTGCACAGTTTGTTTCCCTGTAGTAAATCAACCCCAGTGACGTGGCTATTGCTAATGCTGCAGTGATGTATAAGCTGTCCATTTTCTTTATGCAATCAAAATTTCTTTTTGTATTTTTGCAGTTCTATGTTCTGGGTCCAGTTCTATTCCCCTTGCGTTTCCTACTGGCTGCGATCTTTCTGTTTCTGATGTGGCCAATAGCTGCACTTCGAGTCACTGGTATGACAGAAGAAGAGCTGAGCCGGTCAATACGACATAGGCGCACGTAAGTCCAAAGCCAGTCTATAGAAGTGAAGATAATGTTTAGAGGTATTTGTCATCGTTATACAGAACAGCACATTCATTTATTTCCATTTCTCCCATTTCCATTTCCCATTCCATGTGTCTTCTTCCCTTATGCACACAGCATTCTACATCACTTGATTTACGTACTAAGCCGCACTATGTTCTTCATGTGTGGCTTCCACTGGATCACCATCCGTGGCCGCCGCGCCTCCAGCTCTGAGGCCCCACTGCTGGTTGTGGCTCCTCACTCCACCTTCTTTGACCCCATTGTTACTGTGGTGTGTGACCTCCCATCAGTTGTGTCCCGAGTGGAGAACCTCAACATCCCTGTGATTGGAGGTGAGCCAATTAATAAACTCTTATGGAAATCTCCATGCTTTTCTGCTTATACATCTGTGCACTAGTTTAGGCAACTCTGGTTTTATAAAATCAGGGTGTACACAGAAGATGATTCAAGCTCTGTATGGAACAGATAAAGGGCTCTTGGATCATATAGCAGACACGGCGTATTCTGCAATACATATCAATGGGCTAAACAGCTGCAGCTGTTACACCCAAGTGCCATGACAGACAGATTTTAATCTGTACAGCCGTACGCCCGAGTGTACAACCGTGTGCAAGAATCCTTAAACATGCCCTCATTGTTTTTAATATTTGCTGATTTTAATGGATAGTCTAAAATGTTCAACAATAATGTTTTTGCCCTCCTAGCAAAATTAACAGCAATAGTCCAGAGGGTTTTGTTTTTATCTTCCTCTGGAATAAACTAGACCTAGAATCCAAGCTGCTGCACAGAGACAGATATTGACTAACGCGGAACTTGCAGGCAGCACAGGCGCATTTTTACCTTGGAAATGTTATAGGCTAGGTCAGGTTCACTTTAAACCTAACTCAGGCAAAACTTTTTTGTTTTGTACCAGATTCTTAAGAGATTAGGACAAAAATTCTGCTGGGTTAGAAATAATTATGTTCTCATTGGTGAGTGCAAAGTTAATGCCAGCACTGGCTTGACAGCCATGGACCTGCATGTAGGAATGTTGCTTGTGCCAGTGGTGCAATTGCATGCACTGGCAAATCTTTACAGTAGCACTGACTTGGGCAAAGCCATGTTGTGATGGCATGAATGTGGTGCATCCTGATTGGATATGGTCTTAATGGGTCCCTGAAAGCTTTCTTCACACCTTGTAAAGAGACAAGTAGCCTGCTCTGTGGGTTCCTTTGTTCTTAACTGACTTCAGTGCTCAACTAAAGTTACTGTGCACCTTGTTCCTTGTCTGCTGCAGCCAGATCCGAGTTCTGCCTCATTCTTTATCTTGCCTCTGTCTCCCCCCTGTTATCCTGCTGTAGTTGTATGACCTCCTTGTACATACCATTGGCCAGGTTGTTACCTTCAAGGTTTGCACTTTGGAGATGTTTGTTGCACAGACTATAACTACACCATCGCTGGCTTTTGTACAGACCAGGTATCCCTTGAGCACCGTTAGTGAGAGCCTTTTGCCAAATTGTTAATGGCCAGGAGTGTACCCCCTCCGCCCTCGCTCTGTGTGCACGCATCCTTTTATCTAGGTTAGATCTAGCCTTCTGTGATAACCAGCCACCCCCTACCAATATGGAATATTTTGTTGAGAAGGTGCAGGCCCTGACCTGGATTGTAAAGCAGCTCTGTACACAAGTAACTGCTTGGGAATTTGCAGCTATCACTGTCTAAAGGGGCCTTCTCAGATGCTATTGCCTCAGCCTGCTGAACCCAAGTTAAAGCTCCCCAAACACTTCTGAAGACATTACAAGTAATTAGTAATTTTTAAAATTCTTGCTGGTATGGTTTTGCATAGATTATCAAATCTATGGAAACTGCATAGAGTGGTAGAGTTCACTTGGAGTTCTTTTTTTTTTCACTAAAAAAACTAAAAATTTGGGGAGTTTATAATGACCCATATGTGCACGTGTCCTCTTAGGGGAAAGCTTTGTTTTTTTTAAATACTTTTTCCCTCCTAATAGAATATACAGAAGGGGCATCTTGGTCGAACTTTGTGACCATTAAGAGACCCTTGCCTTTCTATCTTTGCCTTTTTCCTGACTTCCCCTTTCTGTACCCTGTTCTGGTCTTCTGTCTTTTTGATATTGACCCTTGACTTGACTCATGTCTGGTACTGCTCCTCGGCCAGTCTCTTATTTTGTTTGCCTTCAGTAAAGCCACACCCTGGTTGAGCACTGTGGGTGGCTACAGATGCTACAAACACACCGTGAGTGGCTCTGGTTGAAGATTAGGTAACCCTACAGGTAATAGTTACATAGTTAGTCTGGCTGAAAAAAGAAAAGTCCATCCAGTTCAACCAAAAAAAAAAAAATATATCCTTGCCAAGAACCTTTTACTATCCTGCTGGAGCATTTTCTGCCATTTTCACCCTTATTGGATCTATCCTGTATCTAGTTCTGGGATTCCAAAAAAGATGCATTCTGATTGGGTGTTGAGTAATATCTTCTACTGTGTGAGGATTTTAGACTTCAGATATTTGATTTTTCATCGATTCTGTCCACACACTCTTTATAAGAAGCTATCAAAGTACTATAGTATACAGGAGCTCAGTCCTGTGTAGAGGTCACTTTAAAATAATGAAATGGAGTGGTGAGGATGCATGCGGAAGGTGAGTATAAAAGGGGTCTGGAGGTGGGATTTAGAGAGACTTGTCACTTTGCCCTGAATGGGTAGAGTAATGCAGTTTCTTTTCAGTAGCAGGCTGTAGGTGCTTATGTTAACTGCAGTACAAATGCTCCCCAATAGTTGGCATGTGCAGCTAGTTATGCACTTACTTGGCCCTGCGGTTTTGCCCTGGTTTCCATAATCTGTCTATAGCATACATGAATGAAACATGTACATGAAAAATGCTATGCGCAAAAAAAGTCAAGAATTTAACCATAAAAATGTACTTTATCGTTGGTACCTCTTTAAGCCTCATTCACATGGGTGCTGTGGCCCCTGCAGCGTGAATAAGCGATTTGTTTATGAATCTGGAGTGACCTGGAGCTGCATGCATGCGGCCTATGTTACTCTATGGGGACATGGCTGCTGTATGGCAGGCCACGCTTCTCTGTTCGGATCCACATACCGACATCTTCACACCTGTCAAATTACTAAGTGTGGCTGTGTCCATACAGCCTATACGTCTCCATTGAGTAACAGGCTGCCTGCATGCAACTCCAGGCACATGATCAAAAGACCCATTCATGCTGTGCGGGCCCCAGTGCATAAGGCCTTATGCTGAAGTTAATCTAACAAAAAATGGCACACATACATCTGGACATGGGAAAACACATGTATACTGCAAGAAACCGCTATAAAGTTAGCTTTTAATATATATAGTTTTGGGCCCTGAAATGTAACGTATAACTGCGTTTGCTACAGTTTTGTCATCTCTTCCTCAGCTCTGCTTCGATTCAATCAGTCTATTATGGTGTCCCGACATGACCCAGCATCACGGAAAAAAGTGGTTGAGGAGGTGAAGAGACGAGCAACCTCCCGTGGGGAGTGGCCGCAGGTGGAGTGCTAATTCCTGTCTCATAAAGATTATCCGATTGTTTTTGCACTAAGATCTTGATGACAGTTCCATTCAAGTTTTATAGAACCATCCCGTCTTTTCCTTAAGCTGGCTGTACAGTTTCTTTTTGTTCATAAAAAAACTGATCTGTTTTCCCCATTCACACTTTCTAGGTGGATGGGGGAAATAATTCCCCCCCCCCCCCCCCCCCCGCAGTGTCTTTGTATTCTGAGGACAGGACTCCCCCACTGTCAGAATAAACTGATCAGCAATGCATGTGCTGATTGAATATTGCTTTTCCAGCAGGACCGGTTGACAGAGGCTAGTCTAGTGACTGGCTTATGTTGAAAGAGAGAGGGCTACACACAGATTGAAATTTGGGTGCTTCCAGCTGAACTGGCCGAATTCTGATCCATGTATGGCCAGCTTCTACCGGGGTATAAAATTGCAGCTCAGCTGACTGTTCTGTATATGCTGCTTGATTTTAAAATCAAAAAATCCTAAAGGACAACTTCAGTAAAGTGAAGCCCCCTGAGTACAGCCAGCCTGGTGAAATACCTGTATTGCTCTCACTCCTGCGATTTTTCATTGTGAAGCCATGCATGGCACAGCCTTTGCAAATAATACGTCCCAAGAGGGACCCCTTTCTATTGTGCACTCGCACTATGCCCCATTCATTCTTATGGACGAGCCATACTCCACTTGATTGTCAGAGGCCACCATGTCTTAGAATAAAAGGGGCTGCTGTGAACTGGTTATTTTTATTTATTTTTTTTTTTTTTTTTAAAAAAGCTTTGTGTTGCCAGACAGGACCTCACAGTAAAGATCTTGAGAACAGGAAGGAAAGTATTTTACAAGATGTGCTGCACTCTTGGGGGGGTGGGGAGTGAAGTTCACATATAAAAAATAATCATTGGCAATATTCTTCTGTGAATAGTATGTCAAGTTTAGCATAAAGCACTTTTCTTTTACTGGTACTTGCTCATTTTAAATTGGTCTGTGAAACTATAATACATATATCATTGCATGTAAGCTCTTTTACAAAAACCAACTTGTAATTTATATTTAGTGGTGCTTTAACTGTTCCTTATTTTTTTTTTTTTTTTTTTAGCTTTTGTTTTTCCCAGAGGGAACAAATGGTAATGGACAAGTGTTACTGAAATTTAAGCCAGGTAAATAGAGGGCTGAGCCTACACTTTCCCTATGGGAGTATACTTCTGTACTTATGTTTACTGTGGTCACAACTGTGCTGTTCTGCAGGTGCCTTTGTGGCAGGCGTGCCTGTTCAACCAGTGCTAATGCGATATCCTAACAAACTGGTGAGTAACATTGCTTGGGTTAGTTGTGCTCTCTCAATGCTTAGCTTTTCCCCCCAATTTTCTAATCTTAAAAAGTAGCCACTTTTATTGAGAAAAAAACATTCCCTTCTGGGTGATCTATGTTCACTGCATGGATTTTAACAAACTTTGTTGCAGATTCCTACCTTTTTGTTATTTTGAGGAAATTGCTGTTTGTTTGACTGTTAATTAGCAGAGTCAATATTTATGGGAGTGGATTTATAATTATCAATAAGCTGCTGCATCTGCAGGGCTCTAATGAGGAAAACTGAAGGGTCTGCATCCCTTTTAGATGAGATTTACCTTTGAGACAATCTCACCACAAATGGCAGGGGAAGCCAAATATCTGATTTGTATCTTAGTGCAAACTTTTGGTAAAATCAGTAATCAGATCCAGGGAATATCCAATTGCCTCTTGGGGGATCAGGAAGGAATTTTTTCCCCTGCAGGAGCAAAGTGGATCATGCTTTGCTGGGATTTTTGCCTTTCTCTGGATCAACTGTGGGTATAGGATTATATCCTTCCAAAAATTGTTGAACTGGATGGACACTTTTTGTCTTTTTTTTCAGCCAGACTAACTATGTAACAAGCAGAATATTAAATTTTCATGGGCGTTTTGTACACAGTTGTGTACAGAACACCCCCAGGTATCCATATTGCATTGCATTTTACAGAAAATTACAGCGCTACAGATTGAAATGGTAAGATACTTTTTTAATAACATTCAATTACAATATAACTCATATCGTAATTGTGTATGCTATATTATGGGTTTTATTTTTTCGTTTGTTTTTGTGGGTTTTTTTTTTCATTTGAACTTTTTTTCCCATGAAAGTGGAGTTACCCTTTAACTATTTTACATATCTACATAAACCAATACAATATGTCCTATGTGGGAAAAACAATATATAATATATGTATGTATGTATATATAATAAGGTTTATTCAGAAATGTATTCAGTTTTTAAGGAATCCAGTTTTTTTTTTTTTTTGTAGAAATTTGTAGGTTACCGTTACTAACCTTCTTGACCTAATTGACAATTGCCTGGCTGTCTTAATCTCATGGCTTTGGTTTTTAGTTTTGGTTCTGACCCAGAATAAATTTCCAGATTTAATTAAGTCATGATGAATAAAACAAGCTGTCTCCAACATACACGAGTCAAATAACAGAACCCTGTAGTAAAGAGTATTGTAAAAAAGAAAAAAAAACTAAAGAGCTCTGTTATCTGATACTGTCATGCACATTCAGGAGCTGGGAGAAAATACACTGCTAAAATAAATTAAAGGAACACTTTTTGATCAGAGTATAACATCAAGTCAATTAAACTCCTGGGATATTGATCTGGTCAGGTAAGTAGCAGAGGGGGTTGTTAATCAGTTTCAGCTGTTTTGATGTTAATTAAATTAACAGGTGCACTAGATGGGCAACAATGAGACGACCCCCAAAACAGGAATTGCTATTACAGGTGGAGGCCACTGACATTTTTTTCCCTACTCCTCTTTTCTGACTGTTTTTCACTAGGTTTGCATTTGGCTAGGGTCCATATCACTACAGGTATCATGAGGTGATACCTGGACCCTACAGACGTTGCACAGGCAGTCCAACTCCTCCAGGATGGCACATCAATACATGCCATTGCCAGAAGGTTTGCTGTGTCTCCCAGCACAGTCTCATGAAGGAGATTCCAGACCGGCAGTTACTCTAGGAGAGCTGGACAGGGCCGTAGAAGATAATTAACCCATCAGCAGGACTGTTATCTGCTCCTTTGTACAAGGAGGAACAGGATGAGCACTGCCAGAGCAGTATAGAATGACTTCCAGCAGGTCATTGTCTCTGACCAAACAATCAGAAACCGACTTCATGAAGGTGGCCTGAGGGCCCAATGTCCTCTAGTGGGCCCTGTGCTCACTGCCTGGCACCATAGAGCTTGATTGGCATTTGCCATTGAACACCAGAGTTGGCAGGTCCACCACTGGTGCCCTGTGCTTTTCACAGATGAGAGCAGGTTCACCCTGAGCACATGTGACTGACGTGAAAGGGTCTGAAGAAACCTTGGAGAATGTTATGCTGCCTGTAATATTGTTCAGCATGACTGTTTTTTTTGTGGTGGGTCAGTGATGGTCTGGGGAGGCATATCCATGGAGGGACACACAGACCTCTACAGACTAGACAATGGCACCCTGACTGCCATTAGGTATGGGGATGTAATCCTTGGGTCCTGGGTTCCTCCTGGTGCACGACAATGCCCGGCCTCATGTGGCAAGAGTATGCAGGCAGTTCGTGAAGGATGAAGGAATTGATACCATTGAATGGCCCCCACACTCGCCTGACCTAAATCCAATAGAACACCTTTGGAATATCATGTTTCAGTCGATCCGTTGCTGCCAGGTTGCATCTCCATGTCCAGGAGCTCAGCGATGCCCTGGTCCAGATCTGGGAGGAAATACCCCAGGACACCATCCATCGTCTCATTAGGGGCATGCCCCGATATTGTCTGGCATGCATACAAGTACGTGGGGGCCATACAAACTACTGAGTACCATTTTGAGTTGCTGCAATGAAGTTTTAGCAAAATGGACTAACCTGCTGCATAATTTTTCACTTTGATTTTCAGGGTGTCTTTGAATTCAGTCCTCTGATGGAAATAAAAATTATCAACCTACAAACGATGGGGCATCCTTATGTTCCTAACACATTACCCAATCCATATCAGTATAGATATCCAGCATGAGATTTTTCCTCAGTGAGCTCTGATGTGTTTTCAAAGTGTTCCTTTAATTTTTTTTGAGCAGTGTATTTGCAATCAGCAGTTAATAGGGTAGTGACTGCCAGATCTCAGATGGCTTTGTGCACACTTTTAAACTATCCTTGGAACGGTCTATGTCCTTGGTTTCTGATGGAAACTACTACGTAAACATGAGAACCATGCCACATGCTAAAATGTGTTTTAAATTTGTACCATAAAACTTAGTATTATAAATATGCATTCATATAGTTCAGAGCTCTCCAAACTGTGGCCTGGCGGCCGGATGTGGCCCCTTGCCAGCCTTTTTCACAGTCCTTGGGGTACTATTCCTCTGAATGAAACAAGGTATTATTCCTCCCACTGACACCAATAAAGGAACGCTATTTCTTCCAATAATGCCAATGATGGGGCTCTATTCCTTTCTATGATATGAGGCACTATTTCTTCCACTGACACCAACAATGGTGCACTATTTCTTCCACTGATACCAATGATGGGTTACTATTCCTTTCACTAATACCAGTGATGGGGTAATACTCATGCTTTTACTGACCACCAACCCTGAGGCCATGTTTATTCTCACTGATGCCGGGCCCGGGACATTTTCTACCCTGCTGACCACAATTCGGCCCTCCTAAAGTCGAAGGTACAGTAAATTGGCCCTTTGAATGAAAAGTTTGGAGACCCCTGACATAGTTTGATAAAGTCATAAGCCTCACAAGCAGTGGGGATATATTAATTTTATAACCTTGCTGTTGGGAATATTTGGAAGTGTGTGTGTAGTAAATAAAAAAAAATATATATTCAAATTTTATATACTTCGCAAAACCTTAGTGGGGTGAGTTCATATTTCAACATTTTTAAAATGAATAAATATTCGAATGGAGTGTGATTGGTGCAGGCTTGGTATAAAATATAATTACTACTGCAGTGTTTATGTGGCAGTCCTGCTCCATGAAATACTTCCAGTGATCTGTCCTCTTGCTGCTATTCTTGTTGCCTCTAGATTTTGGTAATTGTCTCTTAGACTTTGCCACTGGAAAGAGATCTGTTTTATGTGCTTCATAGAGATGGAACTGCATTGGGCAGAAAAGTAAGGTTATGGTTGCAGTCCACTTTTCACCATTAAAATATAATTAAAGGTAAAACCTTTTTTAGTTTTGGATAAAGTGGAGGGGGATTAGAACCCCTATCAGTTTTTATTGCTTTCTGTGCTCTCATTAAGGAAATTAACCCCCTCTATTTGTCCTGCTTATCATTATATTCGAAAGTGAAAGTAAAACAAAATACAACCATTTGGGTTGTGCCCAGAAAAGTAATATAGGGGAAATCCTCCAATGGGTACACACGTTCCGGTAACCGGGGGGTCCCCAAGAAATTCCTTTAATTTTCAAGGATTTCCTCTCACTGGCTCCTTCCTCTGGCTATGAAACAGGAAGCGAAGGGAAATCTCTGCAATGGGGCACAGATGGGGAACAAAAATCTGACAGGGGTTATAACCCTTCCTTACTCTATCCAAAATGAAAAAAGTTTTGCCTAATCTCCTACTCTCCTACTTTAATATCCATCTATAGCAGTAGAAATAGTTTTGGCTATCTGTAAAAATAGAATTGGGTAAGCTGTAGGTGGAAAACCCTCTATGTGCTGTCCAGTTATATCTGGTGGAGGTAGCTCTGCTATATTTCTGAGGAGGAAGGTGTGCTGTGGTGGAAATTCCAGGGCACTTTAGCAGACCGTTTAAAGGCCAGCTGTAATTAAAAATGATGTTTTAGTTTTGTGTGATTTGTTAATATAAGAAGCCAACATGAGATTAATTTGTTTCTCAGTGATTCCATATGTGAGAGGTCTCCACCAGATCTCGCCCTCCCCCCCCCCCCCCCCCCCCCTTCCCAAGCAATGTGACAACTTTACAACCAAATGACAGTCTCTGTGCTTCTTCTCATTTTGATTTTGTTTTAATTATTTTTATTGGTTTAATTCTTTGTCAATATACAGCCTGCAACAATTTGGACATGGAAAGGAAATGGCGTGTAAGTTTGTTTTTTTTTCTTCCCCCACTTTACACCTTGCTTTCACTAGAGTGTATATACACTCACAGGACACTTTATTAGGTACACCTTGCTAGTACCAGGTTGGACCCACTGTTGCCTTCAGAACTGCCTTAATTCTTCATGGCATAGATTTAACAAGGTGTTGGAAACATTCCTCAGAGATTTTGGTCCATATTGACATGAATTACTGTTGCCTTTCAATCATCTCGAACCAGTCTGCCCATTCTCCTCTGACCTCTGGCATCAGCAAGGCATTTTTGTCCACACAACTGCTGCTCACTGGATATTTTCTCCTTTTTGGACCACTCCCTGTAAACCCTAGCCACTTGCCCTACAGAGGATTTACCCCCCCCCCCCCTTCCTTCCTAACCAGGCCATTTTTTGCGATTTACTTTAACTGACAATTGTGCGGTCATGCAATGCAGCACCCAAATTAAATTTACGTCCTCCCGCCCCCCCCCCCCCCACAACTAGAGCTTTCTTTCCATGGTATTTGATTGCCTGTGGGTTTTTTAATTTTTTTGCGCTATAAACAAAAACAATATTTTTGACTTTTTGCTCTTCAACCTGTCCAGTAAAAAAATTTAAATCAAATGTCGTCATAAATTTAGGGCAAAATGTATTCTGCTACATGTCTTTGCTAAACATAAATCCCAATATGTGTAAATTAATTGGTTTACGTGAAATGGCAGTGTATATGCTGATTATTATTTGATTTTTTTTTTACTAGTAATGGGGATGATTAGTGATTTATAGCGGGACTGCGGCGGGCATTCTGACATTGGGGAGAACTAATTGTCCCCAGTGACACCAATAGAGTGATCAGTGCTAATAAAAAGCACTGACAATGTACTAATGACAGTGGGCAGGAAGGGGTTAACATCTGGGGCGATCAAAGGGTTAGCTGTGAGCTGTTTTACTATGTGGGCTGTGTGTGCTTTACACTGTAAGCACACTGGTTTGCATGGCTCTGCTATACAAAGCATTGTGCAGGAGCTGACTGGGGAGAGATCTATAATGTTTACATACAGGTCTCTCCCCCGTCGGTGATACTCAGAGATTGCCAGATGCTGGCATGGAATCACTGGCCAGGACCCGGTGATTGACAGGCAAGAGCCGTGCCGCTTTGTAGCAGTATTTGTGCTATAGGGCGGCGCGGAAGCGGCTAGAGATGGTTGTGCGTGAAAATTCCAGTAGATCTGCCGTTTTTGAAATACTCAGACCAGCCCGTCTGGCACCAACAACCATGCCACGCTCAAGTTCTCTTAAATCCCCTTTCTTCCCCAATCTGATGCTCGGTTTGAACTTCAGCAAGTCATCTTCACCACATCTAGATGCCTAAATGCATTGAGTTGATGCCATGTGATTGGCTGATTAGCAATTTGTGTTACCAAGCAATTGAACAGGTGTACCTAATAAAGTGGCCAGTGAGTGTATTTATTTTCTACTTTATCACTGATCATTTCACATATTTCTGGAAGTAAACTTTTGTTTGCAGTTTTTTTTTTTTCTCCACACCTAGATTTTGTTATTATAGTCTTGTATGAATTTGATGTTATTTGCATGGTGCTTTAACCAGGTAAAGCTTTGGGTTTTTTGGGAGAGGATATAATACATTTTATACAGTATGGTAACATTAGATCAGAAGATTTGGGGGAAGTGATTGTCCTTGCTCAATGAACAGACCAATAGTTACCAAAGGTATTCCAGACTAATCTGGGCAGGCATTCACCAACCCACTCTTACTGACCAATAGAGAATTTCAGAGCGTTCCATCTGCATTTGAGTTAAAACCTGATTGAATAGACTGGAGTAGTTCACAGCTATCTTCCATCCATAGTTTAATTTCTTTCCGGTATCTACTGATCAAAAGTGATTATAATTGTGGTCGTTTTGAGAATTAGTTTGCCTGAAACCTAGGAAATAAAATTGGAAATGTTTGTTTCCAAATTATAATTTTTTTAATGGCACACACAACAGCCTTAGATACTGCAATTCCTGATAAATTATCTGATCTATTACTGGGATAAATAAAATCAATAATTTCCAGGGGTTCACAAAGTTAAATGATTGGAAGATCACCTGAGTTCCTGTACAAGAGAGTGGACACTCTCATCTTCTGATACTTGTTCCTAAGTTGTCTTTCGCTGAAATGACAGGCTATGAAAGGCAGACTAGGTCTGTGCGCCCTCTGTTTGTTCTTTCCTCATTATGAAGGACAGAAACTGACACAACAGACCTGTTCTGTCTATAGTGTTAAGTCAATAGACCTTTTACCCTTTTAGGAAATTAGAATTTGTCTTTAAAGTCAACAGTAACTAGAAGAACTAGATTTCTAGTTTGTCTTTACCCTCTGTACCCTGGCTACATCCATCCAATCAAAAATACATTTTGTTTTGTGAGTGTTCACATTTAAAACATTGAGGGAGACTCTCGCCTAATTGCAATGCCAATTGAGCAGATTCACTCCACAGCAGAGATCTTGCCTTTGAAATCATATTGAGGAAATAAATGGCAGATGATTTGATCTGCTTCACCTCGAGGGCCATGTCAAACTATTCGTTTTTTTTTTTTTTTTTTTTTTCTGCTGATGATACTTCACTTCTAGCAGAATACCTGTAATGTAAATGCCCCTTTCCCTAATAGAAGTTGCTTCCTTGCGACAATGGAGCAATCTCTCTACTGGTTTGGGTAACAGGGAAGTAATGCCATTGGGAATGGTAAGTTGGATTTTAGAGATTTGTAACTAACAACTGAATCACTATGAAGGCATAAATTAGATGGTCTAAGTGGCTAAGTGCTTATGCAACAGGTGTCTTGGGGTTGATACATACTCATGTATGCCTTATTAAAGTAAGGTAATGATTTGTCAGCTTTGAACCTGTTTGGCACATCAGGATCAGCCAACCTAACAAAGCTGTTTCTTTTTATTTAGTTTTTTTTTTTCTGTTACCTGTACGTCTTATTTCTACAGGTTGAAGGTCCTTTGGCTTACAATGTCCCAGTTTTACATTAACCTGGAGATAGAGGTAAGAAATGTTTTGTTTTGTGGATACTAGTGTAGAATGGCTGCTTATTTTGCCTTTCTATTCCCTGACTCTTTCCACAACATTTCTATGTAGTTGCTGTAATGATTTTTTTATTTTAGTTCTTGCCAGTTTACAATCCAAGCCCTGAAGAGAAATCAAATCCTGCATTATATGCCAGCAATGTACAGAAGATAATGTCAAAGTGAGTTGGGTGTGAAAAACTTGGTTGTGGTGAATAAGAAGGTGAACCTGGGGGATTTGACTTGGGATGCAAGTATCAGGCATACACTGCTTGATTTTTGTTAGCATTGCACCACATCCCAGCATTGTTGGCGATTAATTATGTAGAGTATGGCCATGGTGTTTGTGTTCCCAAGCAGAAAAAAAATCCTCATTGTCCAGTTGCATAATAAACTCTTTCTTTACTGCGCTTGCAAGGCCGTCTTTTACTGGACTTACAAAGAAAAAACAATTTGAAAAAATTTGAAATAAAACCGTGAAAATGGGATGGAGATAGGCACATTCTGTCATATTGTATTATTGACCAGAAAATTTATAACGAGTATAACTATTTCACCATTATAATTGTTACACTGGTTTACCTTGTGTATTTTATGCATGATGAAACTATATCTGTGTTTTTACTTTTAGAGCTCTTGGCAAACCAGCAACCGAGTATGAGTTGATGGGAGATACACCAGTAACACCTTTAGGACACCTAAAAGTGCCATTGGACCCTAAATTTTGGGAACTGGGAAAAATCCTACGGAAGGCTGGGTGAGCGATACCTGCATTGAAAAGCCTATTACCAGATAATACATTGCTTAAGATGTTGACAGATGAAACTTATGTTAGGCTGGGTGTATGCTTCAGAATGTCAAGAGGTGCACTGGCTACAAAATAGTTTTGAAGTGAAAACTTGTGTATGGTGTTTTAAAAAGTTAGATGTTATCGATTTTGGATCGGTAAAAATATATCATTTTTGTTTTAAGCTACATCAGTTGTACAACTTTCAATTATGAGAGAGTAAATTACACTCCCCTTCCCACAATTCAGCACAAGTTATTCACCAAGGTCAAGCAGTTAATGTGGTGGGAGGAACCTATGCAAGTTTTAACCTGCAGAAAGCTACAACATATTTGAGTATGTCAGGGGGATTTAGTTGCAGAAAAAATGGGTTGGTAACTGGGTGCAAAGGTGGGGGTCCACACCTACAAATACTGCTGCTGGTTTTGGTAGTTAAAGGGCTCAGTCACACATTCTGCGCTGTATAAAACCAGTCACCGCTAGGACACATAGAAAACTGTTATTTTCTATGTGCCCCATTCACATTGCAATGCAGCTGGGAGGTGCAGTGTGGTAAAATGCAGCATGTTGCTGCATAGAGGCACGAATGAAGTGTTTTTTGACACTTAAGGTTTTTAGAAGAAAAAAAAAAAAAGTAAAGCAGGTCACTCTTAATGCGGCTCACTGAACCTTTAAAAATAAAAAATCTGACAGCTGCCCACATGCTAAAAGAGTGCATTTAGCTTGCAGGCAGTGTGAACAAGCCCTAGGTTTTTGAGTGTGCACAAAATGCTGTCAGTAGTGTGATCTGATGGACTGGTCGGTAACTTTAACTAATTGAAGTTACAATTTGCCTGCAGTCACAGCAGAGTATCTCAGGTCATGATGCTAGCCCAGCAATGGGCAAACTACGGCCCGAGGGCTGTATACGGCACGGCGGACCTTTTAATCCGGCTCGCGGAGCTAGGCTCCCACTAGGCTCCTCTCACAGTCCGCCCTGAAGACCGGTGTAGCATGAAAATCTGTCTCCTATGAGGATCTGTCCCCCTCGACGTATCTGCGCATGTGCCGGAGATCGCCGATCGGCTGCTAATGCCTGAAACTGGCACATGCGCAGATACGTCGAGGGGGACAGATCCTCATAGGAGACAGATTTTCATGCTACACCGAAACGGCGCGGGAACACGGTGAGAGGAACGCGCGGAGCAAGGGTAAGTGAATTGACACAGGGGGGACTTGGGGACTTAATATGGGGATGAATTAATATGGGGAATGAATTACTATAGGGGGGATGAATTACTATATGGGGGATGAATTACTATATGGGGGATGAATTACTATGGGGGATGAATTACTATATGGGGGATGAATTACTATATGGGGGATGAATTACTATATGGGGGATGAATTACTATGGGGGGATGAATTACTATATGGGGGATGAATTACTATATGTCAAAAAATAAGTCAAAAAGTTTTGCCCACCCCTGTGCTAGCCAGTAAATAATTGCCACAGAAACAAGCAATAAGGTTTCTCATACAGATGAATTATGTACGTATTAGATCATGGTGATGTCAAGATTCAACATAATTATGACTTTTCTGTTGTCTTTCAAAGGTTCTCATTTGACAGTGTCCAGGGGTTGATTGACCTCTGTCTGGAGGGGGTATGCTCTCGTGTGGGACTCGAAGAACTGGCGGAGAAACTGGGTCTCACCCAGACTGATGTAATTTCTAGAGTTTTCAGTTACTTTCCAAAGGTAAGGTGCTTGGTAAAAGGTTTAGTGTTGCAGTATGATAAAAAATACCCTTGCTATTGGTCATTAAAAGTCATTCAGACTTTAAGTAAACCTTTCATATAGGAACTATAGGGGCTGCTATTATTGGCCTACTTCTGAAATTGACTTATTGCCTGCCTGAACTGCTGGCCTCTACTATTCATAGTCCCCAACAAGGAACAAGTACTGTATGCATATCAGGAAAGGAACGTGAGAGTAAAGTCAAAAGTCCTTACTTGTATGATTGATCTGAATTATTTGAAGAGTGTCTGCATAACAGCCAAGCAACTAGCATTGGCAGAAGGAAATGTTAACAATGAAAGTCTACAGGAAAGGTGTTTTTTTTTTTTTTTTTTTTTTTTTTATCCATTAAGCCAAGTGCACAGCTCGCAATCTATGAAATTATCAGACAAATCGATGTGGTTACTATGTATTGACACTGTGAGCAAAAAGTGACTGGAAGGCTGGTGTTGACTACAAGAAAACCAAATCCTTTAGCTGTAGAATACTAGAAATAACCTTCAAGTGTATTTAAGTTTAAACTTTTATTTTGGTTTTGGGTGAGATTGGGAAGGATTAGAAACCCTGTCAAATTTTATTTATTTTTTTTTTGCTTTTTGTTTCCCCACTGGGGAGAGTCACCCTCTCTCTTTTCCTCGTGACCACTCTCCCTGGGACTAAAAGGGAGGCAAAATACACAATTTTTTTAAGAACAGTTTTCCCCAGTCATCTTCCAGGACAGCAACCTGAGAGATGATGGGTTCCTCTTTGTACAGGAAACACAAGTTGAACAGTTAAAAACCCCTTCCACCCCCCCTTATCTCTCAATTTACGTTGTGTATTCTGCCGTCCAGGGGCAGCAGACATTTGTTTTCATCTGCCTGAAAGACCATTAGGTCAGAGGCGTTCCCTTCTGAGGCCCTTTTGGGGAGGGGTGTGTGTGTCTGGTTCCTTGTACTTCTTGTTATATTCTGAAGGATTTGTGCCCTGTCCTCTCTCCAATTTTCCCAGGGTAATTGCGAGTGCTACTCTGTGTGGCGCATGCTGGTGGTGCCAGAGACCAAAGCTGGAAACCTTGAGGCTGGAGGCAAAAACGTGTGGCCCAGGCCTCAGTTTGGGAGTTTGGTGCGTCACTTTGACGTAATTTTGGATAGCACACTGTGGGGGATCTCGGCACTATTCCACAATTGGGAATTTTGAGGAAGAAGCGGCCTAAACAGAGACCTGGGGCAAGTAAATCCATTCCTGTTGTGTCCTGTTTTGTAGCTTAACATACATATTGCCAGCATGCCAGAAATCTTCAAAGAATCATATGCTTGACAAAGGGGTCTTGTGAAATGTTGGACTCTTCCACCCTGATCTGATTGCTTTGAATAAAACACCTGGATGTTATTTGAAGAACCCTGGTGTGCTGTAAATATGTATGTTGATTTGTGATGTTACCAGTTTCAAAGTGTCAATTGCCATAAGGGTTCCCTCTTGCTTTTTCCAGGCTCTCTGCTCCATTTTTGACTTTAGGTGTCAACTTCTGAAGTCTGCTTCTCTGTAAGCCCTGTCCTAACTGCTGGTAGCACTGTAAAGGATGGGTCACATGGGTTTCAGTTTGGTGAGCGGAGCACTTTCAGATGCGATCTGCCATCTAAGCATGAAGAAATGGGAAAAACCATGTCCAAGACAGCAAAGCAGCTTCTTCTGCAGCAGCACCCAAGATGGAGGGTGCAGTCTTTATGTCCAGCCAGCATAGGGTTTTTTTTTTTTTTTTTTTTTTTTTTGTGGTCACACTGTGTTGGTGGTCTGGGGGGCGCAGTATGTTCTTGGCATTTTCCCTTCCCAGAGGTCTGAGTAAATGGGAAAACTTGTTTTTGACCCAGGTCAGGAGAATTGGCCTCCAATGCTACTGTTAATTCTACACTTGCTTCTTTTGCTCCATGGTCAGACAGTAGCCTTACCAATAACAAGTCTGAGCCTTTTATGTGATAATTCAAAACAATTTTGGAGGTACATTTAAACAAACTGTATTGTAATGCATGTAAAAATTTCAGCTTGGTGTATTGTTTGGCCTGCGAACAGTTTTTACGTTTTGAGGAAATGTCCTCTGTTCTCTCTGCGGTAGGGGGTAGCCTATTACTCTTGCAACCACCCACACCCAAGTCCTTTTGGGATGTGTACTTGGTAGGTGAGATATCCAGTGAATAATAGTAGGTTTTTCTATCGTGTTTCAAGTTGTTGGGCCTGCCATTCTTTCCACATAGACTAAAAGCCCTTCATGCTGCTTTGGCCCAACTCCTTCTCAAGTTGGGGAGTTCCCTTTTAATTGCAGTTTAGGAAAAGTTTCAGTGAGTTTTCTCAAATGTTTTCACCACTTCCTGGGCACTTTTTGTCTGCAACCACTTCTTCCATCTGATGGACTTCTGTATTCTGTGGGCAACATGATGTCCACTCGCAGATCCCCATCTTGTCTGCGCATTAATGCTACTTGAGGTTTTCCTTGGCCAAGTTGGTTGCCATTCTCTTTGGTCTGTCCACTGCGCCTCAAGTATTCTTAGAAGTGCTAGCCCCTGTGCTGTATTGCTATGTTCACAGGGTTTTCCCATAGAGCGGTAATTGGACATTTTTTTTTTAAAATTTTTTTTACTGAGAGGACAAATAGTTTAGAACCTGTCAGCCAAGGCCCAAAAGAAGGTTTTGACTTTTAGTGGGTTTGGTTGGTTTCTTGACCTTTAGAAAGTCATCGCTGGAACTGACTCATCGGAGAAAAATCTAGGTCTTTTTCTAGATGCTGCTCCGTCCAGAGTTTTTTTTCCTTCTGCAAGACACATGTTGGATTTTATGCTACCATTGTTGGACTCCTCAGTCCAGGAGCTGCCTAACTCTGTGTTTTTGCATGGGAGTTCTAGACTTGATGGTGTCCTCCTTGAGGTGGTACCATATACAGTATGCTCAGTTCTTAACATAACACTCCAGACTGTTACAACTCAACATTCTGGCTTTGTGGGAACAGACTGTAGTACAGTCTGTAAATTCAGTTTTGCCTGTCTTTCAGGGCACGGTTGGTTCACCATTCCAACCTAGAATTTGGGGGTTTCAGCTGTTCAAAACTGTTTAGCTTGTGTTTCCTGTACAAAGAGGATCCCTCCCTGCTCTATAAGCTAAATGTCATGGAATCACTCTGTATTATTATTTATTATATATACAGATAAGGATAACTTATTTAAAAGATTGGTTCATAGATATTCAAAAAAATGACTAAAAGCCAGTATAGTAAGATAAGAGGTCATACTAACCTTTCAGATGGCACATGTTTTCTATCCTTCATCCGCTCCAGCTCTGCAGCCTCAGTTTCTCTGGCATTCTAAACTTTCAGGGGGGTGAGGTGCCTGTATTTCCTGCTGTATTCTGGCACCTTCTTCTGACTTCCACATCTCTGCTAAGTTATGTAGTGATGGAGGAGTTCTAGGAAGGGACCAGAACACAGTGAGAGACAGTCATCCAACAGTGCCAGAAGTGTATGCTGGAGAGAGTGAAGAGAAGGAAGGGAGGAATCCTGGGCCTCTGGAAAGGTGAGTACACTTCCTCTTCTCTTGAAGGGAACTGGTCTTTTTATTTAATACTTGACAGGGTCTCTTTTAGTAAACCCTTTTCAGGATTTCAATTGTGGATGTGTGTAATGATCTCTCTGTCATTAGGATGCCAGTGGAATGATTGATTTTCGGGAAGTTTCACTGGTTCTAGCAGCTCAGGATGCTACTCGTTCTGCAGAGGAGTTGGCAAAGTTGGCATTTGATGTAAGTGATGCTATTCAAAATTGATTACAAAATATTTGACTGAAAATCTTATTTTCCACTGTGATCAATTTTATCTGTCTATTGCAGCTGTTTTCTACCTGTGATGCTGATGGCTGCTTTCTGCTGTCTGCTGAAGGCTTTTCATCCATTCTGCGTTCGCTTGTGGGTTCACCTCCTGTAGAAAGTGGCAAAGTATATGCTGAACTATGTCCTCGTGAATCTCCAGGACTTGACCGAGGTAACATGGATTAGTGACAAAGGGCCTCCTGTATATGCACTGCAGTTGTGTTGCTTGTGTTCGGTTTGTAATCTGCAGCCGTCTGTCCGAATATTTGCAGTTGAGAGTTTGGTGTACTAATTTAGATGGAATATTTAGAAATATATAATCTGTTATGTGCCCACATTGATGGCAGCTCATCTTGTCGGCTGTACCTCCTCTACACTAAATTCGACACTGAGAGCTAATCACGTGACCGGAGCACCCTCAGAATAGGGTAAGTATAGACAACTTTTCTTTATAGGGTGGTTAGTATAGGGCTTGGAATGGGACTGGGAGCAGGTTTAAGTTTTTATATAGTATTTATACCAGCCTTCTTTAATCCCTTGTACAACAGCACTACTAGCACTACTAATCCTCCTGCAGTGGTGATTCGGTGGTAGAAGTGCTGTCAGGACAGGAGTTTCTTGATTACAAGAGTGACGTTACATAATTTATATAAGAACTGTTTTATTAGGGATTTAAAATTCCATGTATTTAGGTGTATGCCTGATGTACAGCATTAACAATATAATAATTTTCTTAGTTTGCCCATTTTATATTTGTCCTTATTACTACATAAGAGCCCATTCTTGTATTTTACATTTTTCACATACTGAAGCAAAATTGTTATTAAAATGGCTGGAGTAATTGTAAATTGTTTTCCAGATGGATTTCTTCGATTTGCTGTTCGCCATCCATGCTATCGCCATCTTTTCCTGTTCTATCTGCGCCCCCCAGCTTCTGGACGCAAGAAGCCATCACGTGTACAGCAGAATGGGAGCTGTTCCGGGAAACACACTCCTGGGAACCAGCTCAAGTCTGATTGACATGTTGTGGGGGGTTTTAATGGGGGTTGGGGAGGTGGGGAGGGGGGACTCTCCTGTGATGGGATGAGATATTTTTATGGGTTTATTTAGGCTGGAGTAAAACTGCTTAGCAGTTATATCTACGTGAGAAAAGGCAATATGGTGAGATTCTTTTTAGTATCTAAACTGTTTCATTGAAGGATTTAGAAAAAAAAAGTATCAGGTTGTAATGGAAATGCCAGTCTGCTAGATTTTATTAATGGCAACAGGACTCTGTCTTCAACAAGTGGTATTGTTTTAGAGAGCATGGACTGGAAAGAATGCACGTGTTATGACAGCAATGTTGAAGGAGCAATACTTTCTGTGTGTATAGTTGGTGCAAGTGCAGATTTGGGGTATTAACACCCCAAAAATCTCAGGTCTCAGGGAAACAACCTCCCTTCCCCCAGAGAATTTTACATTTTTACCATTATTTGGATGTTTTATTTCTGACTGCTCCCCATGTATTACTGCTCTCGTTATGGTTCTGAATGATATTATAATTATTTTTCATAAAAATGACTCGTGTGGTTATTTCACATTTTTACTAGCACATACAAGTGCATTGTTTCTAAATAACCTCTATGTACATGTCACATAGCCCTAGCTGTACACAGGCTACAGAAAGTGATGAAAATGTTCAGTTGACCAGCTTTGGTTTATTGGCAGTGAATTGGATGATCTTGAATTCTACAGTATAAGTGCTCCATATTAACTTGCTGAGTTGTTGGTTTAGGGCCCACACATTCTCTTCAAAATCAGACATTCAAATGCATTTCCCTTTAATCGTAGCATATAGGAAAACAGGTTAAATGTCTTGGTATTTGGCCAGAAGATATTGTTTGAAGGAGAATTTTAGTGTTCTGATTGGCTTATCCTCACCCAGATAGGACAGCCAGCACTTATACGCTTTAGCTCTCGGGTTTACTCGGGAAGCTGACCAGGTGGTAAATTAAAAACCATCGAATTGATGTCGGAACAGAAATGGTCCTCCAATGCTGCCCTCCTGAGATTGGGGCACCTTAAAACCTTAAATGAGCAAAGAGTGAAAGGGCTAG